GGGAGTCCGCAATGGGTCGTGCACCAACTTTTGTGTGGCATTCACGTTTTAAAAATGGCCGAACCTCTGTCGATGATGACGAGCGTTCTGGACGACCATCTTCGAGCACAACGCCCGAAAATGTTACGAAGATCGACGTCGTACCATCAACGACTTGTGCGACATTGTTGGGATAGGCTATGGGACCTGTCAGCTGATTCTAAAGGAAGAACTCCACATGCGACGCATCATGACAACGCACCAGCGCACACCGCCTTCAAAGTTCGGCAGTTTTTGGCCTCAGACACCATGGCCGTCATCCCACACCATCCTTATTCGTCGTGTGACTTCTTCCTCTTCCCAAAGATGAAAATTCAGCTAAAGGGATGGAGATTTGAGACGATAGAAGAGATTCAGGCAGAATCGCAGATGGTGCTTGACAGGCTGGCAAAGAAAGATTTCCAGGGATGCTTCCAGGCTTGGCAGCGGCGCTGGGATCGTTGTGTTCACTCCCAGGGGAACTACTTCGAGGGTGATGGATGAATTTAATACCTGAGATAAGTGTACGGGTTTCTATACGCGCAGTCTGGAAACTTTCCGATCGCACCTCGTAACGCAACGGAGCACCACCCATGTGCGAAACACGGAAATGCACAACACGAAATTACATCTAACATTAACTTGAACCAGCCGCCGTGTTCACAATGAGCAGGCAACAAATACACAGATTCAAATACGCACCGAACATGCTCGTAGTACATGAAATGCGTAGTTCCTACAGCTTTGGTGCCTGGTACGACTGCAGTATACAGGATGGTTAAATATTCCTGCGAAGAAGAAAAAATGTTGGAAGTGGGAAGTGATTCAGAGGTCCCTGAGCGCACACACGCCCTGGGCGAGGCACGAAACTCGCGTGACTACTCTACAGGAAGTCAAAACACGGGTCATCCAGCCAGCAGCCTAGGGACTTCGCTCACTGAGGGATCCCTGATCCCAAAGGAAGGAAAAGTGTGACAACCGGAGTACTAAAACGCACTGACAATAAATGTTAAACAGCGAACTGGGGTTTACTATTATACGCTGTGCCCAACGAAGGAAAATAGTAACCTTAAGACAGAAGCGTGGCTTATAGAAACCTCCGTCAATAATTACGACCGGGAACTTCACAACTTTCAAAGCTTTGAGATGATTTTGGAAATGAGTTCGGAGCTTTAGACTAACTCGAGGGCTCAGTTCCACCTCGAGGAGTGGCCTCCCGTCGATCCCACCCTTCGATTGTTTACGACGCCAACCCTTCCGCTCAATGCAGAATCTTAACCGGGTCTCGGAATTCATTTCTGAGCATGTTCACGGATACGAAGAGGAAAAAGGCATCTTTTCTCTGCGCCTCAATCAGACCGTTTCCGCTCATGTGTCGCTCAAGCTCATTACCCTGACCCCTTGTCGCATTCTACTACCCTCGCCAGATTCCAGTCAGCTGTTTTCTTCCTAACGTCTCTCTTTCAAGCAGACCCGCAACCCTGAGCTACTGTGTAACACAGCATCCGGACCCAGGCGCCGATGAATCTGTCATCACGATCACAGGAGACTCCTCTGAGTCAGCTGAAATCTAAATTTGCTTTCGCGAATCTTCTAGTACTAAATAATGTTAACAAAATATTCGCTGCAAGCAGCCTGTGATCAGCTTAACACTGGACCAATCACAGAACCTAAATATACTGTAAGGATTTTTAAGGTGATCGTAACCTAGTTCAAGGTTTAATAACGGCATTCCCACAAAAATAATGAGAAAAAAAATTAAGACAAGTTAGTCAGTACCACACCTCACATTCGAACTGGTCTGAAAGATACCCCCCACAACCACAACTATGACGTTTCTAAGGTTCGCGTTTCATGCAATGACATAATTCTACATCATGAACTGAAAAATTATGCACCGAGGTGGCACTCAAATGTTCTTAATAATAAGATAATTTATTAATTTTTAATTTATCGTAATATTATACGGAAAATGTGACAATCTAAAAAAAAAAAAAATTCAAATCAACGTTTTGACTGAAATAAAAAGCTTAAAATCCCTATTACACTCAACCTATACACAATTTTAAATTAAACTTATAACTGAGTATAAGAACTCTTGTCAACATTCGGTTTAATGCGGGTCTTAACTACTTGAAAACACAAACCAAAGTTTCTGATATCCAGGATGAATAAATTAATTTCTGTACAGGGTTTGAGGTTTTCCCAGCGGTGAGTCCGAAGATGGCTGTCTTCTGGGTTGTATCGCCGTGTAATATGGCAGAAGTTTATCAGCGTTTCAGAGATACTTGATGCTTCCATCATCAGGGCGATGAGCTATTTTTCGCGAAGGTTGTAGGCCCGCTGTCACTTCGAAGCAGACCAGTCCCATTCTGAAAGGGGGGGGGGGAGATTTTTCTCCCATGTTTTACAAGTACTTTAGATTTTCGAATTTATTCGACGTTATAAAGCAAACGAACCCTTAACAACTTGTAATTAGAGGCTACTGCAACATAAATAACCCAATTTTGCAGCAGCATGGCTTCAGAAGGCTGTCTCTTTATAACATTACGCCAACGGGTGCACCACAGAGGTTCCCATGGGAACACAGGGCATGTAAAAACCGAACAGGACGCTGATGGTCCAATAAAGTAGGAGTCACCAAATGTTTCAACGTTGGGCCCCACATAAAAATTCTACTCGCCATTTTCTCCACAAGTGCATTCGGCAAACGACAGAGCACAAATGAATTGCACATCGGAGACGCGTTCGTGTTAACCGTGTCAGCCCGGCTAACACTGAAAAAAAGCAGTCTTTCTTACTCTCGTGGTTACTCCATATACCTATTTTTAAAAAAATAATCTTCTAAACATTTCTCATTTTAGCCCTGAATAAGGAGGCAGTATGTTCCTCTGAAACGTTAATATCCAGCCATAACATACCAGCATCTATATTGTCACTGGGGTGGGGGGTTTACACCGGAAGTTTTTGAGCAATTTTTTGTTTAACTCTTATCCATCTAATACAAAATCCCCAATTCAGCGTTACTTTAAACACGTGACACTTTTACGACACTGCAGTCAGTAGGCCTCGATTCATTGCTACGTCTGGAATACCGTAATGTAATGTGAGTTAATAAACCATTTCAGTTCAATATACAGGCAGATATGAAACAAAATCTACACAGAAAACGTTTATGTAGCTTGGAATTTTGTTACGCAGACAACCAAACAAAGCTGCTTTCAACTTTAATTACATTTCCCCTGCTGCTAAGAGATTCCGGTGCAAGTTTAGCTCTGCTGATTTTAAAATCACCAAACAAGACAAATTCTATGTGGTATAAAACGCCCAGTGGACATAACCAATATAATAAGCAAATTATTCAAAATTAACATAAACTTTAAATTTCTATAAACTGTGGGTAACAGACACAGGGACATTTGTTAAATGA